GGATGGCTGTGTGTGCAGTCGAGCTGGTCTCCCCTGCTTGTGTGGTCTGGGCAGATGCCGAGGTCCCCAGGGAATGGGTCTCCATGTCTGACTCAGAGACCCCCGTGAATGTGGGTGTGGATTTGAACATCCTGGAGTCCCCTGTATTTGAGGTGTGCGCCAGAGCAGTGGTGGACTGGCCTGAGGGAGAGGAGTGGGATTCCAGCCCAGAGGTGGTGTTCTGCGTGCTGGATGGTGGGACTGTTGAGTTGGAGGAGGAAGAGGCAGGATTTGTCTGCCAGGCTGTGGGCCCCCAAGCACTGGCCTCATAGGAAGGTGTGCTGGCCCCCAGGCTGTCTGTTGAGGTGGTCACAGTCTGTGGCACTGACACCTGTGTAGTGGCAGCCTCGCTGGTGGACTGGAGACTCTCCCTCGTGGATACAGGCGTGGAGAGGCTGTGTGTCCACGTGGTGGGAAGCTCGGTGTAGGAGGAGCTGGTGGCACCGCTAGTTCCTGGGGAGCTTTCAGAGCTGCTTTCCTGCACAGGCTCAGTGCTGAGTGCAGAGGACTCCTCAGAGGCTGTGCTGGCCACAGGGCTGGTATCTGAGGGTGAAGAGCTGGGAACAGCAGGGTTGACAGGGGAAGTGGTGGCCCCCAAGGCTCTGGTTATGGAGAGACCTGGGGTGTGAATGGTACTTGGGGAGCCCCGAGTCTGGGTCATTTGGGGAACGCTGGTCAATCCTGGAGATTCTGTCCAGGATGGGTAGGAAGCTGTCCTTCCGCTGGTGGCTCTGGTGTGAGTGGGCTCTGAGGTGGTGGCTTGGGTGGGCCCTGCATGGGATGTTGGGCCTGAGGGGGGGCCTGCTGTAACATAGATTCTTGGGCCAACCTGGGCCAAACCTGAGTGTGTGGCAGGTGTGTAAATGGCAGTGTGCCCAGCAGAGCTGGTCTTGACTTCTAGCATGGTCTGGGAAGATGCAAAAATCCCCGGGGAATGAGTCGCGATGTCTGTCTCAGATAGGCTGGATTTGGACACTGCATAGTCCTCTGTGGTTGAAGGGTGCACAAGATTAGTGGTGGATTGGCCTGACGCAGTGTGGCTGGATTCCAGTCCAGAGGTGGTGGTAGGCATGCTGGACTGGGGCCTCGCTGAGGAGG